ACGTACGTTACTCGTTACTACTACGTTACGTACTTACTACTACTACTACTACTACTCTACTCTCTCTCTCTCTCTCTCTCTCTCTCTCTCTCTCTCTCTCTCTCTCTCTCTCTCTCTCTCTCTCTCTCTCTCTCTCTCTCTCTCTCTCTCTCTCTCTCGCTCACACACACACACATACACATTTGCCTATTTATACTTGTATAGTGCATCTATTTTTTCATGGGCAAGGGAGTATACTCTCCCTCCTTCACCTCTCACATCACACTCACTTTTCTCCCCTCTACTCTTACTTCTCTCTCTACGCTTCTTCTCTATCTCTTCTCACTCATGAAAATTTTTTTACCTAATATTACTTTAGTAATATATTGTCAAGTTATTCAAAAAAAAATTACAAGTGATTTCCATATATTGAGAGACCTCAACAATTACTTTCCACCCGCAAAAGAAGCCACTATTTTGCTCTACCAGTCATAGTCTCAAAGATATCATTCTCAGACATGCAAGTAGGACTAATTTTGAACAAGTTCTCCACTCTTGAATTTTTTTCTCTGAAATTGTATAATGCAGCATCCTTGTAAGTTCAAGATTAGAAATTTCACGACTTAGGATTGCACATGGTCCCCATAGAAAGCCACAACAGACAAGACAAATAACGATTAAGTGATAAAAATTAAATGTTTCAAGACTGAACCAGTGAGGGCACCAGTTCAGTTGGACTGGCCAAACCAGACCAGTTCACCAGTCAGCCTGGTATAAGAAATTAAAAGATTAATAAAAAAGTAAGACCGGAAAAATGGGAAAAATAGTGACAATTATAAAAAAAAAAGAAAATTTTAAAATTAAGAAAAACTAAAACAATATTCGAAACAATAATAAACTCATCAAGCAATAAAGAAATGCTCATTAATGATACAATAACTAAAACTTATAAAGAATAGAAAATAAGCACACCACTACATGAGAGGGAACTTTGGGGCATTTGGCCACATTCCCAGTCTTTTAGGCCAAATGCTTCTTAACCTAATGTATTCCCCAAACTTTTATTGGTTTTAAACAATATATGCAAATAGTTTCCCACTTGTCTCCCTTTTGTTCCTTTCTTACACAGCCCCATGCCGGGTCTGTTTTTACTCTATTAGACCACTTGAGTAACTTCTTTTCGCCAATTCAAATATCAAACTCACAAACCTCAACCACCAATATGCAATAACAATCTCCTACAAAGTATAAACCATACCACATAACACAAATTCTACATATCAACGACAAACACGAAGCACACTTCACAATATGTGAAAAAAGAAGAAAAAAATAATCTGAAACTTTTTAAAAAATAACTATAAGAAAATGTAAGCCAATGCAAGAAATAAAGAAATTCATTCAATTTTTCTTATCTTTCATTTTGGTTTTTTTCTTTCTTATTGGTTTTTGCATTTTCTCAATTTCTAATCTTTGCTTTTTAAATTTTCCAAAATATATTTTTCATTCTCTTATTTTATAGAAAATCAAACATGCAAAAACAAAACGAGAAAAAAGAGAAAAAAAAAAATTCGTTCTCTGTTTTTCCATTTTCTTCTTTTTATGCATTTTTATTTTTTCATTCGCCAAACCAAAACTTAAAATAAATAAAAAATAAAAAAAAATAAAAGAAAAACGCCACAATTTCACCAACATATTTCTGTTTTTCGACACTATTCAGTTCTTCTTTTCTTTTCTTTTTTTGCTGTTTAACAAACAGAAACATGCAAAAAATAAAAATAAAAAATAAAAAAAAACTCAAAAAAAAAAAAGAGAAAAAACATAAAATTCAAAAAATAGAAAAACACATTCTCTGTTTTTCTTTTCTTTTTCTGTTTTCCTTTTTTTCTATTTTTGTATTATCTATTTTTCATTTTTTACACAGTTCCCAAACTGAAATTGCAAAATAAACGTAAAAAATAAAATAAAAATGTCCAAAACATATTTGCTTTTTTATTTTTTTGCTACAAGAGCTCTTGCAAAATGCCATTTAAATTTTAAAACTGAGAGTACAAAAACATTTGCACCAAAGTACCAAACAACTTTTTTTCTTTCTTTTTGTTTTTTTTTTTTTGGAAATGTCAGATTCACCTTTTAATGGCTTTTATTAGCCTTTTACAAGTTTTAATTGTACAAGAAACAACATTAAAAGTTAAAACCGCATATGTATTAAAAAAATAAATAACAACATTAGGGTTTTTTCTTTTTTATATAAATTTTTGGGTAACATTTTGATGGGCATAAAGGTAAATGCCTAAAAAGCAACCTTTCGCTCTCCTTATGTTTTCTTTCTAAGACCAACGAAAGTGATTTTCTCCTCATTTAAAACAAGAAAAGATGGGGACAAAAATATCTTTTCTGCGCCCAATTTAGACCAGCCGGTTCAACTCGGAAACAATGGACCGACCGGTCTACTATTTGGACCGACTAGTTCACCGGTTTATTACCGGTTCGACATCCTTACTAGTTTAGATACTGGACCAAACCAGAAAGAGTGCCGCTTCACTGGTTTCCAGTTCAACTGGCCGATCTGGTCTAGTTCTCACAACACTTGTAAAAAGAAGCTTGAAATTAAGCCACAAAAAAGAAAATGCGAGTAAATAGGAAAACAAGTGGCTTTAGTAATCCTAAATGAGTGAACCAGCCTTAGCTTCCATATATAACTTTTACCCACAAAACAAGTGGCTTTACATCTTCTGCAGAAGATATAAAGTTCATATTCATTGTTAGAATTGCAAGTGAACGAAAACCGACAATATACAATAGAACATCGAATACACGACTAGTTACATCTCTTCGAATTAAATTACCGCGCCAAGTTATCAAAAATATTACCACCAAGTCATAGGTGGGGTTTTTGCCAACCAAGCTTCTGACATTTAGAACTCTTTCAATCCTGTAACATATGGTGGCACAAGCCAACCACCTTGCCTATAATACAGAGGGGAATTCATATGAGCAATGACCACTCACTATCATTTACACATATCTTCTCTTGCAAGTATGTACTATTATTGCAGGTTGCAAGCCTCCACCTTTCATATATCAGGCTCCTGTTTAGGTTTCATACAAACATGTGATGACAAATGAAAACAACCAAACTTTCTAAAAAAATGAAATAAAAGAAAGAAACAAGAATGAGAAGAACCAATTGAAAACCTTACATTGCTAGAACAAACTCCGCCTTGGCCAGCCCCCTATCTATCATACAGGTTCCAAGCCCAGGTCAAGGAGGAGGGTTGTGTTAGGTATGCAGCCTGCATAAAACTTTGTCGAAGCTTTACATGAATCCAGAATCTGCGTTATCTACTCACGCTAGGGCATTCCCCGTAAGTGACATGTTGTACCGACAAGGGTATAGTGTGAAATGAGCAAGGGTTAGCTAGGGCATCTCCTAGAAGCGATGCGCTATAGTGCCGCCCGGTTGCGAGAAAAATAGGCAAGGGTACTGCAATATTCTAGACGAGGCGGCTAAAGAAGCTAGTCCAAAAGAAGAGGATTCGCCTAGCCACATGGAATATAGAACCGCTAACAGGTAAGCGCATAGGCTTACTGGATACAATGAGAGTAAACGTAGTTTGCCTATAAAAAACTAAGTGGAAAGCGGGAAAAGATAAGGAAATCAATAGATATAAACTTTGATATATAGAAAAGATAATAATAGAAATTATGTCCTTTCAAGGCCTTAAATTCCGACATTTTAATTGCTCTGAATTTCAGAGGGAGTAAAAGAGCGATATGACTCTAAGATCTTGGCGCACAGGGACCAAGAGTCATGGAACCCCGATTTAGTCATGAGGAGGATTTATATACATCGGAAGTACCGAGAGGGTTAAGGGTTACCTCTTAGTCAAGGTCGATTATTATTTTTGTGCCTCATGAATGCGTGATGGGCCAGGGCAATGTGCCTTATGTGATTATGTGATATGAACTCAATGACAAAATAGCTACGTACAAGAAGGTTAGAGCTAATAGAGGACATTGAACTAAATCCCTAACTCTTAGAACCTTCTCAATGTGTATATACAGTCGCAATGCATGGGAAACCGCTATTCCAGGCATCCACTGGTTAGAGGTATACACATGTACTAAGAGAGGAACCCACGCAAAATGTGTGTGCATGTTATTTAGGGGGTGCACCTAAAATCCACTTATACTTGGGGATTCAGGGTCACTCATTGGTTTGACTTTGATAGGTTGACATCATAAGCCATTAATTATACATTGTGGGTCATGAGTCTGTTGGGCCATACCAATAAGGTGGCTATGGATTTCGGGTCTAGCCGAATGGAGTGCTTCGATTCGTAATTCAACTCCAATGATCATAATTTCCCTTGTAAATGTTTTTAAACAAATCTAAAATGATTTATTTTGACAGCAAATCATTAAAATGATTTTTATGTATTTTTGGATTTTTTTGCGCTTTTTCGAGGCAAGAAAATACTTCCTTTTTTTAATTGTTTGGGAGAAATGACAAACAATTGTTTGGGAAATGACAGTTTCCCAAGACCCACATGGGACACCCAAAGTGGA